TTTTAAGTTCAAGCATAATTAATCTGGCACAATTTTAATATTCATTGTTTTTTTATTACATTTATAATAAGAACTTAATGCAAATGGTATTCATTGTTGATTATATTAAAGCTCTTTTACTAATTAATACACAAGACGCATGACGAACAAACAATGAAATTATTCGAGTATTCAGTTGCAATACAATAATACTAATTAACTAAGCATGCGAAATGTAGTTTTCATATCCTTGTATTAGTATTATAAATTGTCCACAAAGTGTGCGATGCACGAAGTCAGAATATATAAAGCCTTAGATTAATTAATAATACAAGGGTATTTTAACTGCTGCAATTAGATGTAATATCTGTGTGTTTTAAAAAGTCTAAGGCAATAATTCGCTGATAAAATTATGGGCAAAAAGAAACATATATATTGTGGTGCAGACTTTTCTTCACTTAATTGCTTTGCTATGCTGCTGTCAGAATTCCATACAGTGCTTTAACACATATACATATGTTAATAAAATTTAAGCACTGCAGGAACTGGAAATAACTTTGTAAGCCCGTCAAGTTGAGCCCACACATCGTATGAATAACATATAATATCATTTACTTCAAACGTTTCACGCAGCAGCTTGGGGCTTTTCAATTGCGTTGTATGTAAAATCAACAGCCTGCGTTAAATGACATACATACACACACCCCTCTTTTAGGAAGTTCCTCCCAGAAATTCGTCCCAGCCGCAACCCCAACCGCCAGATTTCCATTCTATGAGCCATTACACGTACAATGGCCGCCTGTTTTGATATGTATATTTAATTGCGCTTTATTGACAGGATTTTAAATGACAAAAAGGGTCATTAACAATTATCCATTTTAATGTATTATTTAATGCACTTGGCTCTTGCGTCAAATACTTCTTTCTGTTTTATTGATTTTGACCTATATACCTTCTGGGTTTCTTGCAAAAATGTGCTTTATACAAATAATTAAAAATAATTTGAAATTGTAATTGCTTTCTTTATCTTCCTTGCATCATAATAAAACAATTCATCTATTGTTCTATTAAAAACATTAATTCAATTATTGCATGTCGATTGATATGCCAATTTGTAAAGTATATTGATGATTGAATGATATATTGCTTTGCCAGCAAACAAGGAGTCAAACTATCCTTACTAGCTTGCATATATTGGATCTATTTGTCGCACAGGCTGTAGCATACATTTTGGGGCAGTGACAAATTTTTGCACACAGTTTGCCACATGACATAACCGGCAACGCAAAATACTTTCAATGAGCACTTCCTGTGCCCAAACAAGCACACACAGTGGAATACACGAAGCCTGTAGTCGACTTCCTTGGGAAGTTACTTTCTGTGTGCGAGTGAGCGTGCTACCGTGCCTGCCTGTGTGTGTATGTGTCAGTGTGTGTGTGTGTGTGTATGCCGCTAATAGACGTCAGGAGCTTTGCCAAATTTTTAACAACATGCCACCGCACACATTTGTGTGCCGTCAAAGGACCTCATCGCTCGCTCCGCCTGCGCTGTGGTTGCAAAGGGGCGCAAAACCCTTTCAGTTGTTGGAGAAACAAATACCGTGGCCATTAATTTAGTTTAGTCCTAATTAAATTGCATACGTTGCCATACACACAAACACACACAGAGAGAGAAAGAGATACTGGCTCATTTATAAGCAGCTGACAATACAAGCACGCCCCTTTGTGAGTCCTTGAGGGTCTCCTTTTGTTTGTTGCTTAAAATTCCATGCCATGCACACAGAAACTTCCTTTTTGGCCAAATGCAAGATTTTTTTTTTTGCTCTGCTCTGCTTTGCGCTTTTCTGGGAGAGTGTGTGTGTGTGTGTGTCTGTGTGTTGGCATATTTATTTTTCTTGTTTTTGTTTTTGTTTTCTTTTTTAAAAGTCTATATGTGCTCAGCCGCTTGTTTTCGATGGTACAAGAGTTTTAAATATTTAATGAGACCGCCCGTCGCTGTATTTGTGAGTGTGTGTGTGTGTGTGTATTAGAGAGTGGATTCTGTTCATATTGAAGTCTGTTGCAGTTAATTTTTTGTTTTATTTTATATTTTCGTTTTTGTTTGCTCGTCACAGTTGTCATTTATCTTTAGTTCTTAAGGCGATTGTCCTCTGGGTGTCCGGAACTCGGTTTAACTACATGTGCGAACTCTTGTAAATTGCATATAAAAGTTGCGTATGCAATGTGAAATGTGTTGAGTGCATTTGGAAGTAAAATTTTTATCATACGCTGACAGTTGTCGAAATTCCCATCCGCAACGGAAGTATGTGCTTAAGCCGCCTACGCAGATAGTTTAATACTTAAAAGCTCATACATTATTTCTGCACTGCCTGTGACACATCCATTATTTTCAATTGAATATTTTTAAGGGGCAAGTTACATGAAGAATACAAATAACTTTATAGCTCCTTTGGAATTTATTTTGAAACTTATTTTTCCTTTCATGTCTGCATCCAACAATTTTTTTTACTATTCATGTCTAGCAACTACTGTCTACCATTTTAGCGAGACTTTCTGTGCTTGTCAATATAAATAAATTGTATACTAAATACATCCGCAACGAATTTTTTTCATTCCAAAAGAAAACTACGCCAAAATGCACCAAAAAGTACGAGAAATGCAAAAACAAAGAAAAATGTATAATACATATAATATACCCGTATAGTGAAGTACATGTCAAACCTGCGCATCGAGAAATATCTGTCGACAGATGGGGGCGCATTATTTTTGTTTGCTGTCGCATTTTTTGTTGTTTGTTATTGTTGTTGTTGCTGTGTTTATTTTTGCTGTTGTTGTCGTGTGATGCGGAAGTTTTTAAATTGTGCAGCAAATTCATTCATTCATGAGCATTCTCATACACAAGCAAAATCGCCGTCGACATGGTTACAAGTTCTGAGTTCTGAGTTCGCAGCCAGAGTCAGCCGCAGAGTCCCCGATGCGACGGCTTAGTTCAGCAGCGGTTGCTCCACTCTGCCACGGCTGCCACTTGACTTTTCGAGTGACGGAGTGTGCGCCGTATGGGTGGGCCGGAGCGCCGTAAGGGGCGAGGGACACGGATCAAGTCACGTCAGGGCAAAGCAAACAAAGTCATTTGTTGTTGGGATAATATAGAACTGCTGTGCAATTTGTGGACTGGGTCTGGAAGTCAGTTGGGTCAAGAGCAATAACGCTGAATAATAAGATTCTGTTGAAGTGAAATATGTTTATGTGTGTGTGTGTATGTGTGTGCAAGTGGGCGTGGCAGCCATTTATGTGCCTGAGCATAGCAAATGTAATTGTTCGCATAAGCACCTCAAATATCAGCAAAACTTAAATGACAAAAAAAGCGTGTTTACATAATAAATTACATTTGAATGGGCATATTTAATATGCAGATATGTAGATTCAAATAATGCTCTTACAGTGCAATTACACTGAAATGTTGTTAGGTATTTATATTGAGGCAAACACAATTACATTAGTTAGAAACTAGTTTTATTTATTTACTTATAAGTATATTACATTTATATACAAAAAAATCCACAACTAATAATAATAGAAAGAACATTGATTAAAAAATTTCTAAAAAGAACAGAGTCCACCAACTCACTTCTAAGTAAAATTATTAATAAGACATAGACCGAGTACGGTATGTTTATAGAAATATGTCAGATGCTTATCATGATATATTGTAGTAGTAATTTTGTGTCAAAAATTTTGTGATTGATGTAAACTTTGACTCTGCATGTCAAATGAATATGTATGGTATGTTTAATATATATGTTACTGGTTTATGTACCAGTAGCAAAACGTTACCGCAATCGGTACCTGAACAGATTGGGCTCAGGTGAAGTGAATACGTAGCTTATGTGCAACGTAAGATTATCAGCTCTTGCCTAAATCGTCCAATTGACATATCTTCAAACACTGACAAGTTCTTCAGGAAATTGAAATATGATTTTTGCAGGCTCCAAGCTCAAGGTTTTTTTTGTTTTGTTTTTCATTCTATAGATTCCAATATATTTCGAATCCCGTCGTGATTCGACTTCAAGGAGAGATTCATAGCGTTCGTCTTTTGATGGATGGTCTCTACAAAAGCTTTATTTTATATTAGTTCACTTTCTATTTAGAGATTATGTCTCTTGGAGCATTACACTTGTTCTGCAATTCTTTGGAGTTAAAGAACCCTTGCAGCTTTCATGCTTGTTTTCAAGTCATTCACATTCCTATTCGGACTTCCTCTTGTGCTTAACTCATTTGCTCGCCTTGGGCTACTTTTGCCAACATTTTTGCACAGCTGCACATTTTCCCTCTTTTCTTCTACGAGTAACTAACGTTGAACGTGTCCTGGGGCATCATTTATGCAGGCACTCATCTCTTCTCTTCTGTGTTTTGCTCTACTTATGTTTTACCTTTTTTTTAGCGCATTAATTTTTGAATAGTGCAAATGCTACTAAGAAAAAAAGCTCATTTTGAAGTTTGAAGCTAATGCACTTTGACCAATGCATATTACGCAAGGATTATGTTGCAGGAGTTACTTGCAGCACTTAATGGTATAATGCAGTAACTGCTTGGAAAATACTTGGACACCATCTGATTGTAGGAGCTGTGAGAAGTTTAGTGGGATTATTGTTGACTTCCTGCACTTTCAGTTGTCAAGCTGATTTTCTGTATTTAGATGAAATTTAACTGCTTCTGAGATGAATGTAAACACACATAAAAGATTATATAAATAAATACGTAATTAGAGTAATGCGTTACTTTGCTATTTAATAATTTCATTTCATATTTAGCATATCGTCTATATAAAACTACTTTGAAGTGAAATAAGCATATATATTGTTATTATTCTTACAATTTAAAAAGACGAGTAACCCAATTTTGAGTTTGTTACAAGTGCGTTTAAACTGCGATCTGCATATTTCACTAAAAAAGTTGGACAACTTAAGATTCACACTTTTCTGATTATTTCAACTAACTTTTGACTTTCATTCTCATTTTCAGCAGTTTGCAAAACCAAATCAGGTGAGTTAATGAAGCACTCGGATTCCGACAAAAAGCGCTGCGTTCGGAAATCGTTATCCCTTTAAAACCCACGTATTTAATTGTCTTAAATTCTGCGTTAATTCAAAGGCCCGCAGCCAGTCGAATGGTCTCTAATTAGGGCATAGCATTATTTGATTTTCGCATAAAACATCAAAGGCATTTCCTCTCGGTTCTCGACTGCGTATTCAGCCTCAGCCCCACCCTCTGGCCCATAACGAAAAAGTGAATGACTCATTTAGCGCTGACAATGCGAGACTCTTTGATTTATGAGAAAAAGCAGTCAGGGGTAAGGGGACGGTGCGTTGTGTTGCTCTGCGTGCTAAACTTCGCCGAGAGTTTGACATGCAGTGGCAAACTCGACCATCAAATTCAGCGTCAGCCTGTTCCAACAGTGCTATGCAAATAGTAAGACAACACCGCAGAGAGCAACTCAAGCTGCTCATAACAAACATCAGACATAGTCATTTGTATGTTTTTGTTGTATTTGGCTACACAATTAGTTTATGTGTTTGTTCTACAGCTTGTCGCTTGTTTGGGCAAATCTCCATTTATCTGAACAGCCGCATTTGGTTGATGACCTCGTTAATCAACGTCTGTCGTGTGTCGCATTTGCTTGCACTTCATAATCATTGATTTTGCTTAGCTCTCGTAATTTTGCCATTTTGATTAACCTTAATTAGCGGCACATTGACATTCGTCCGCAAATGACTGTGACATGCAACCGGTCAACCAGCCAACTAGCCAACCATTTTTTCCCCTTTCCACTCGGTTTCATGTCGTTGAAATGAGAGTGACATTTTGTGGCACACGTTTTCTTCGGATTGCAAAGCTGGCTGCTGACGATGGCTATTACCAGCGCCGTCCAGCCACCAGCCGTTTGTCACCTTCCTGCTCTCCGCAGTGGCAATTGCAATTCCAACTGCAGTCGTCTCTGGTAGGTGTCAAATGCAAATGAGTTTCTGTGCATTAGCCGATAGAAAATGCATAAAGCGAATCGTTTCATTACTGGGCGACTTGCAAACACTCTTTTCACTCTTTGACAGCAGTTAAATTTTCCAGTGAACAGTTAAAATTTGTTTCCTTATTATTATTATTTGTGTACTTCATTGTATTAAATTTTAATTTAAATACCTTAAAGTACGATTGAATTCTTTTATACTACATACATATATAGTAGATTGATTTTTAAGGAGTTTTAATGATTATTTCTACGTTCAATAAACGAATCATTTTGTGGCTGACAAATGATTGTTTCAATTCTGCTAAAACTATTTCCTTTAAATAGTAAATATTTAAAACAATAATAATAATAATTCTCAAGCAATTCTCTGGCACTAAGGAAATATGAAGAAGAGAATATCTAGTCGGCTACGCCAACTTTACGTAATATTTGCTAAGTTAAAAGATGGCCGAGCTGGAACACTTTGGAATGCAAAACAAATTGCAGTTTAGCGCAAGCGTAGATAATGCCTCTGCTCTTCATTTGACTCACTCTCGTGCTGGCTTTGACTCACAGTCAATCTACGTTTCGTAACCGCTCTCTGTTTGTGGCAGGTGCATATTAATTATGCTCCGTTTAAGTTGAGGTTCAGCTATATGAGTATATGTCATTATTTGCTCTGCTCTATTAACTTTTCTTGCCAATGACACTGACTGCGAAAAGTGTGTCGACCTCTGCCCACATTGACGGCAGACTAGTTCGCATTGTCGAGCGATTCACTTGACTTTGATCTCAATAAGTGCTAATTACTGGATTTCGATTTTGCAGCTGGCCTTTCGCGGATTGCCCTCAGGCCAGTTAAAAACCAGAATCCGAGAATAAGTCGAAGTAAGAGTGTGAGTCAAAGATGTAGGCCTACACAGTCGTCCATTGGCCTGGGAAGTTGTGCAAAACTTTCACGTAGCTCATTTGTCAATGCAAAAATATTTTTCGTTTTTGTCGTCATGCATTTGCTGTTTTTTTTTTTTTTTTTTTTTGTTTTGTGTGTTTGTTGCTGTTGTTATTTGTGTGTTTGTTGCTATTGGTACGCTTGCAGCCTGTCACGTTTCCAGTTTGTTTTGTTTTATTTGCTTTCATCGGCTTCTTACATGGGAGTTTGGGATCGGGTTCGGTCTACGGTCTCTGCTGCTGTCGCTTTCTTGTTTTATTGTGTAAACTTTTTTGCTGCCAGCATTACGTTGTGTTTGCCAGTCAGCTTGAGGCCTGTCAATAAAGTTCTTGACACCTTTACTTCATTTGCTCAGATTTCTCTCAACATGACTTTAACTTTGCTTTCTGTTCGAGAGTTTTCCTTTTTTTTTTTCTTTTTTCTCTCTTAGCACACACTATGCAAATTTCTTTTTCCTGTTCTTTATTTCGTGTATTATATTTCGTGTGTTAAGTGACGCCCTTATACCCTAGCTAAGACTATATATATATATTTATATAGAGACTGTATGTTGAGGTACCTCTATAGTCTTTGATATAAGCTATTACGTATTATTTTTCAAGTTATACATGCTATACATCTATATAGACATAAATATTATTGAATAGCTAGTTTATAGTGATAGTGGGTATACATAATTTAACTTTGCTTACTTTTCTCTTTATTATACATTAAGTATACGTCATGCTGTCAGTGACCAAAAATTAAGTGCTGACTGTGAATGTGAAACCTAAAGACGCCCATATTTTTGCATAATATACGCTCATTTCAAATAGCAGCTGAAATCGTATAGATCTTCTACATAAAATTATTGCCAACGTTCGCGGTAATTTAATTCGTGATGTTATTCTTTTCGTATTTACAATATTACTCACACCTATTCGTATGAATTTTGAGCGGCAGTTGTACATTATTCTATACCATGTTATTAAAAAGATAATGGCCTAAAAGACGTCAAGGTGCTGTCGCAACCTTGAAAGATCAAGAGTTCACACAGCCAAGACAAGGAAGCAACCAAGAAGCCAACAAACCAACCAACCAACCAACCGGTAAACCAAAAAAAAAAAACCCCCCAACGAAAAGCAATTAACCGAATATAACCGGAGAATCCCAACGAATAAAAAAGTCTAAAATAAATGGGCAGGTTAGCAGCTGAAACGCCAGAGATGGCACTGGCCAACTTTTGTTTGCACAATTAAATATCTGTATTGCAGCAAAGAAAAAACAACATGTAAGGTAACTGAACAAAAAACATAACACAATAAAAATAAAAGTATTCGCTATAAAGGTCGTCTGTGCTTCTTTTTGTTAGCCTAGCTATCTGCAATTAGCTGCAACAAATTAACGCCAATGATTTAACAATTGCTTGTGCTTTTTTTTGATTTGCCATTAAGCACGTCTGCAACTTATGTAACATTCACAAACATTAAATAATATTTGTGGCCTGGCATTAACCATTTTATATGACTATGCGCATGCGAAATTTAGCGACAAATCACGAACTTCAATTAAGTGGGCAAAGAAATGACGGATTTTCATTGAGACATTACCTTATTTAAGTAGAGAAAGCTCACATTAATATATGAATGGAAGAAACTAAGAATTTAATTGAAAAGTTGGAGAAAATCAATATACAGAAATAATTAGAAACAGTTGAGTATAAAGTATTAAGATTGTTTATTATTTTGTAATCTCTTTTTATAATTTAAATATTTGTGAATAGTTTCAGATGCAGTGTTTATATTTGATTTATTTTATACTTCGATATATTTCTAATGCCGTCAGGATTCGTCTTCAGGGAGAGTATTCACAGCGTCCGTCTACTCTGCTGTGGAGTTGCAAGAACCAAACTTTAAAGCGATAATAATATAATAATATTTAAATTAAGTATAAAGTATAATTGCAAATTAATTATTTACTTAATGACACTTTTATTACACATAAACATTAACGTACTATAAATAAATTTAAATTAAATAATATTTTCAGTTCGTAGTAGAAGCTGTGATTAAATATAAGCTATTAAAAAGCAATAATATTGATAGAATTTATTTTGCTTAAATTAATATATGAATGCCTGCACTTTTATATAGATCTTTGCGCAAAATTCAATTTACCGCCGTTTTGTTATATAGTTTGCCGCATGCCTGCATATCAAGGGGCATGTCTGTTTGTCTGTCTGCGAATCTATACGCAGTATATTCGTATTGCTCGCATTTCTCGTTCCCATCGCTTCGGTCTGAATGCTCTCATGAGGCCAATGACGTGCAGTTATTCGCTGCTAAATATCGGCTAGCACATCGTGATGTTACACTTCGCAAACACAACTAAGCCAAAAATCAGACTAAAAATAGCTGACACTATCAAAAACAAATGGAATTTCCTATGTTCGTAGTAGTATATATAAATATATATAAACCAAGCCGAGCAAACAATAGTCAAATGTGTGTGCACAAAATCAAAAGCATACCATAGCAAAAGATTTAAAGTAATTTAAATTATTTGCAAGATTTTTTTGTATTTTATGTGATATGCATGACAGCATTTCAACACCACAAAATGAATTATATGAAGGCAAATTAGACAAGAAAGAGCAGGTATTTTAGACACGTCGTGGATTGAATATACTTGCATTTTAATTCAATTATTAACATGAGCGAAACGACCGATTCATTTTATATAATATAGCAGTCTTCTTCACTTTACGACAAACCCCTCTATAATACCCTCAATAAACTACTGAACAAATTGAAATGAAGTGCAAACTTTTTATTTAGAGATCGTCAATCAAAATATAACATATTTTTTAGGGCGAGATAAACGTATAGGTGGAAATCAAATCGGTATTTCATGCAGTTAATCTACTAGTCGCCTCTATGATCTGGTTTTTTGCTGTTTGTCGCTAATTGCAGTAAATTTTAAACTTCCATACTTGAAACTGCCTTGTGGTAGGCATAGCAGCAGTTTGCAAACGAAAGGCGGGCGCTGTTGAAGAATGAAAAAACGAGAATCAAGAATCGAAAACCGAAAACCAAAGAGAAGCCACCGAAA